GTCTGTTGCAGTGGCGATAAAAAAAAAACAATTAAAATGTAAACAAAGAACAGCTGTTTCACTTTCGCCGCAATTGACAAATAAAACGAGCTCTTCGCTTGTCATTATTGACTGTGCATACCTATAACTACAGTTGATGACACGATAATGACAATTGATCCGTGACAATTGACGGCTGTGACAACACCCGAATAGGGCTGTAAATCCTGCAACTTCTGACTAGGAACAGTTGCTCAGTTACTCTCTCAAAATTGTTCCCACCTACAGCTCAATAAGAACGACTTCCTGTAAGTTCTGACTAAATCCTGTAAACCGGACTGCTATTGGAACAGACTAACTATTTCTTACTATGTCCTTGTGTACTAGAACAAACTATATATTTCTCTCAATCGTGATTCTACCTTGTTATGTCTCGGTGGCGCTCTCCTCAAAGTTTCTCACATTTGGCGTGTGAATGTTGAGAAGTAAATGCACAAATTCTCGCTTCTCGTACATTACGAAAATAGTTCCGCGGGAAAACCTCCGACTCTAACATCGTTGATCCCAAGGTCAAATCGCGGTGGAGCTAGTTGTGGTTTTCAGATTTAATAAATGTTAATTCTTGAGTGCCGCTTAAAAATTTAAGAGGAAATTATCAAATTTAATATTAATAAAAAAAATAATAAAAAGTAATTTAAATGCAATCCGTAGAAGAAAAGAAATAAAAAAATCGAGTAATCAAAATTTTTTCTCATAAAAAATTGTCGCAGATCTGTCCAAAATGGAACCAGTTCAGAACTAGTTCGTAGGACATCGCCATGTAAAAAACGACAGTTGAAAGCATTGAGTTGGGATAGATCGAGAACCAGTACCGCCTCTTAACCAGCTAGTTCTGAACTAGCGCGATTTACTGCAGGGCATGAATTGAACCCGAGACCAACAAATTGGTAATAGAAAACGCATCCATTTATCTACAGTAGCTATTGACGCAGCAGGGTAAAAATTAATTGTTGAATTTATTTTCAAAATTTTGATTTTATTAAAATTTCAAATATCGAAGTTTCACAAAAAAAAATATTCTGAATACTCCCGGGGAGTTTGTTCTCCGGAAATTCGTTTCTCCCGAGAAAGAAATCTTCCAATTATTAAATCCCAACGAGTAGCATTTTCCTGAAAATTTGGAAGGAGGAAATTCGAACTTCGAGAGAGCTGTTTGACACTTTTTGGCAGCTCAACTCCGCCATTTAAAAGAAAAATCCTCAGCGAATTTTCATTCATGATAGGAGGAAGGGGAAAAGAGAGAAAACTCCCAGGGAGTTTCTGTTCAGAATAGGGCTGATAATAGGGGTCTTCCCTTAAACTCGTGAAGCTCGTAAATTTACAAGCCTCGTAAAAGAACTGTCAAAATTATATGGAGTTGTATTTACGAGCCCCTCGTAAAATTACGAGGCAAATTTCATGTGCAAATGACCTCGTAAACTTCAGTGTTGCCGAGGAGCGGAAAATTGTATACTAAAATGTATTACGAGTATATAAAGGCCAGTATGCAGCTCTCCAATTGCCATTATTTCGTGAGTGTGTCCAAGGAATTTTGACATCTGATACTTCACCAGTCTCACTCTTTCCTCAAGAAATAATGGAACGGGCATATATTTCTGTTGCAAGCATGGGTTGCCTTGTGCTCTTTATTCAAAAAAAAAAAAAACTTTAGAAAACGGTAGTAGAAAGCGTAGCAAATTTCTTAAGAACTGCGTACTGCCTCAAGAAAATTTTACACAAGAAAATTTCTTAGCCATTTCTTGTACGTCATTTTAAATATAGTTTTTGCTTTTCTTGAGAGCTGCATACAGGTTTTAATGTTGAAAACAAATGAAAAATAATATGTGAATTAAAAGAACGTATTTCATCCACTAACTGTACTAACATGGGTTTTCTGTTGATTTTCGGCTTTTTTAATTTTATTTTAGCCAATAGTGATAGATACTACGTTTATACGCACGTATTATTTGCAAATAACAATTTGCAAAATGGTAAACTTTGCCGTATAAACGCTGAGTTAATTTTTTATTTGCAAATAAGCGCAAGACGCCGCCATTCTTAGGTTTTTCTTTTTCGATGGTCAACTTATTGCCTTTTTATAATCAAGACGTTGCCATTTTTAACTTTATTTTCTTCTTCGATGGTCATATTATTGCCTTTTTATAATCAGGCAATATAAAAAAAGAATTTTTCACCATCGAATAAACAGTGAGTTAGGTATTTGCAATTATTTTTATTTGCAACTAGCTTACGTATAAACGTAGTAAGAACAATATGGCGGGCTGTTAGGGAAAATACTACGAAACAGAAACTGTTTCACAAAATCGTGGTTGATCTGTCAAACAGTCACTTTACGCACCTATTTACACATTTTCACAAAGGGGGCGTTCCCATAAAAGCCTCGTAAACTTACGAGTTTTACACAGTTTAAGACTTTGCTTATTAATTATTTACAATAAAAAAGTTTTTTTAAGCTTTTATATAATAAATGTCCGAACTTAAATTCTTTAGAAATTTTTAGTAAATCTTTTTTTACGAAAAATGCAAAATAAGCTTGCAAATCGCAAAAAACCTTAAAATCCAAAATGGCGAAATGTTCCATGTGAAATTTAGGGGCAAGACTATGGATCCATTATCTACGTGTCAAATAGAAGGTAAACTGCATTAAAAGTTCCCTACTACACATTTTTTTTTACTTCGTATTAATTTGATCTAAGTTTACTGGGCTATTTAGTAGGCCTATATCGAGTCGAATAAAACACCTTAATCGTTTATCTTCTGTGCCAACTGAAGACAGTTGGACATTCCAAGTCAAGCCGTCCTTCCCCGTCTGGTCTTTCCATTACAAAGGAGACCTTTCTCTATCTCTGCTACCAGCATCGTGATCAGCGTTGTCTACCACTTTCAGAGCTGAAGCGTTTGTGTCCATTCGTACGATATGACCGAGATAGCGGGTCGCTGTATTTTAATCCGCTGCACTATGTCTACATCGTTGTAAAGCTCAAATAGCTTATCTATGAGGCACGGTGCACATTAGAGCGATACGATATGCGATGCGATGTGCGATACGATACGCGATGCGATATGAAATGCGCGCAGTGCACACTAGAGCGATGCGATACGCGATGCAATACGCGACGCGACATGCGATGCGACACGCGATACCATTTTGTGATAGCTACACAAACTTTTGTGCCCTTATAAGCTTGTAAATGAGTTAAATGAGTTGCTTCTCAACCGAGTTTTGACCTTTCGAATGATGGGTCTATGTTTATATCTAAAAAATTTAAGAGAAAAGTATGTTTAATATCGAGTAAAACTGATGTTTATTTTTACAAAGTCGGCTAAAAATTAAATGAGATATTCAAATTTTCATGACAAATTATTTCAGAATATTGCGTTCACTACAATGAGAAATCGGTGAAAGCTGAATTAAAAAAAAAAGCTTAAGCAAAAATTTTTGAGTTGTATAGCCAAAAATATTATTTTTCTCATGAAAGGTTTAATAACTTAGTCAGATTTGCCCCGATTTTTTAAATTAAAAATCACTATATATCAAATTTTAATATTCCATCAATTCAGCAGTAGTTGCTTTATAAAATAGTGCGTGAAAACTTTGTCAAATTTGAAAAAAGACGAAAAAATTAACACAGAAAGTACACACAGATCTCTTAAGTTTTCTAAAAGTTTATATACATATATCATTCGAAAGGTCTAAACTCGGTTTATAGTCAACTGAGTTACAAGCTTATAAGCGCGGAAACCCGTTTTTTTTAACAGTAAATCAAGGTTGTGTGGGTGTTTGACAAAAATTTCGTATCTCGATTCTTACTTCACTCGGCAAAACCTACCTGAAAAATTACATGACTTACCAGGTATTTTTACTTCATTATTTTTTTGTAGCACTGTATAATAGAGCACACAAATTTGTACTTTCTCTGTTTAATTTAAAAACTCCTTAAATATAATAAAATAACACTCAAGAAAAAAAAACATATAAAAATATAACGAATAATCAAAAATAACTACCTACATACATACATCATTTTTTAGTATTTGTTATTATAACTGATTTCTTCTTTTAATGGTAAATCAGATGATTATTTCTTAATTGTTTCTAATTACACGGATTACTAATTATTTGAATATTTGAAACAAAATAGTTAATCATTAACATTTAAACAAACACCAAATCTTTTTTGCTATTCAATATCAAAAAATAAATATGTTTAAAATTATTGGATTCTTTAAATTTTTTTAAAGATGTGAAAACAAAGGCAAATAAACCATCATCAAAGAAATTCGTTTATGCATTTACCTGTGTCCTTGACCTCAGATGCTATATTTCTCCATGTCAAACTAGTTTGTCTGTTGTACAGTCGTTTTTTTTTTGTATAGTTTCATAAACCTGGGTTTTTTATTCAGCCTCATTGCGTAGGTCGTAAATTAGGCTAAATTGTACGACTCGACAACAGTAGCATTGTCTATTGTCGTAATGAAATAAGTAAACGACCAAAATCGCCGAAAACTATACAGTGCTGCCAAGTTTTTCCGTTTTAATACACTAGTCGAGTGGAAATTTTAGGCAATGACGTGCAATTTTCGATACGATTCGACTCTCGAAAAACGACTGGCATTCGACACGACTCTCGCAATGAGGGTGATTAATTCGACTAAAAATAAATTGAGGAAGATGCTTCCGTCTGTGAAATGGTCATGCTTATTGCAAAAAATACGGCGCAATACCGTCACCTCGTTCAGAAAACCGTGTCGCACGTGCGATACGCATGCGATATTATTATATCGCAGCCGTATCGCTGTCGCGCAAGTGTGCACAGTTTTCATCGCTTCCTACCAATTCCCACGTACTCAGCATGTCGATGTCGCATTCATATCGTATCGCTTATCGTATCGCTCTAATGTGTACCGTGCCTAACAGGCACTATTTCTTCGAATTTCCTCTTCAATACTTGGCCTTAAAATAATATCGGATGCTGTATATTTATCTGCATTTTTGCTTCACAGGCTTATTATTATTAACAAAAACAATTTTTTTCAATTACAATATTATACATACATATCGATGGTCCTGTGCAATAACGACACATTTCAATATTCAAAAAATAAAAACTGTTACTACTGTTAAGTGGCTAATGTCTCTTAATCCTTGTCGAACAATGTCTAATCTTTTGTACTCACTTTAGAAATCCTTACTACTTATTTTAGAGAGGGATGGAAATGGATTAGACAAGGGTTACAGACAAGAGCCACTTAACAGTAGTAGTAGTAGCGTAACAGTTTTTGTGTTTTGAAATTTGAATTGTGTCGTTATTACACAGGACCATCGATATTTATGGTAGACTGCATCACTCCCCATACAAAAAAAAAAATCGGGAATTATAAAATCTATTATATTTTAAGACGTCCACCAATATATTTCGGAAAAATATTAAGACTTGCGGGAGCTGGGCCGATTTGAAAATACCTGCAAAAATGGAGTTTTTTATGAAAAAAATAGTTTCTTAAAGATTTAAAAAAATGCCCTCAAAAGACAAAAAGGTATGAGCTTAAAAAATTCGCATACAAATATTTTTAAACAATTTTTCAACGGAATCGTAATAATGAGATTTTTGGTGCTGTTTTTTTTTTAACTTTTTTCAAAGATTTGTATAAGAAAAGCTTGAATAACTGAACCCAAACTCTTCCGATTTAGACTTGTGAGGTGTCATTGGAAAGGAATTTTCTCACCCTTTTCCTTTCTTTGCTAATTAACTCATTCAAAGCATGAAAGGATTAAGAAGTGTTGGTATTTGAAAAAAATTAAAAATTGGCACAAGAACGACTTTTTTTTGACAAAAATGAAAACAGTGGGAAAATACCTTTCTACTGATATCTCATATGTCTAAATCAGAATAGTTTTGGCCCAGGTATTCAAGTTTTTCGTAAATCAATCTTTGAAAAAAGTAAAAGCATAAAAAATCTCATTGCGATTCCGTTGAAGATTTTTAAATATTTTTATACAGATTTTTTAAGCTTAATCTGTTTTTTCATCTGAGGGGACTGTTTTTCAAAAAGTTCTTTAAGAAACAATTTTTATTCATAAAAAACTCAATTTTTGGAGGTATTTTCAAATCTGTCCAACTCTCGTAAATCTTAATATTTTTCGGAAATATTTTGGTGGACGTCTTAAAATATAATAAATTTTGTAATCCCGGTGGAAAAACGGCACTTCTTTTGGTGATGCAGTATACTGTATAGTTTTTGTGAAGAAGCGTTTCTAAAGTTGTTCAGCCGTTTCGTAGCTATGTAATTCATAAAATTTATCAAGTGAGCGCTTACTCTCTAATGAATCTGTCCTAACAAAACAAAGCCCTAAATCATTTTTAACAATTACATTCTGCCAAAAATCTTGAAGCTCATTTTGCAGCACTTTTTCTTTTACTTCCCTTATCCACTTATTGTAATCATCAAATGAATTAAAGTCATAGCACTTCTTACGATACATTGTTAACGCTTCTTCCATTTTTTTATAATTTACGCTGCCTTTGCTTTCAAACAAGAGCGCCCAAATAACGTTGCGCATTTGTTGTGCATACACTTGAAACTTCGCATCTCGTTCTGTTCGATTCCGTATTTGTAAAACATTGTATTGAACAAGTTGGCGGAAATCTTCGGCAGGTGCCTCCTCACTAACTTTATCGAACGACAGAATTAAATTGCTCTCTGTCGAAGTGCTCGCAGAACTATTACTGATTTCCGATTTCACTTTTAGTTTTCCGCTTGTTGGAACCTGAGGCACATTTTCCTCTAGCGGAAACAACGACTTTATGGCGTTAGCCGCGCGCTTTGCATTCTTTTCTCGAAGTTCCGGTACTTGCCAGAATATTTCTACAAAATGTTTATCCTCTAACATTTCAGCGAACCTTTCATCGTCTTCGCTGGCATTTGATATTATCTTCCTCTCTAAAACATCCATAACATTCTGCTCGTAAATGTGTGGTAATGAACCGAAAGGAAGCAAATCAGGCTGGTATGTGTCACGGGGATCATCAGACACTTTGGAATGCAATGATAGGTCCATTGAATCAATCAAATTATCTATAGCATCGATTTGCTCATTCGTGGATTCTGTTTTTGGAGTCCTTAGCAGTGGAAATTGAAAGTATTGATATTGGGAATGATAAGCAATCTCGACCATGGTTAGTGATGCTGGTCTATCGGGATGTAGCTGAAAAAAAAACAACATGCATGTACATTGAGAAGTAATGAATCAGTCATGTTACCTTATTTGGCAATAGTACCACCATCTTCGGTGTATTGAATCCGATGCTGTACACTTTGCAGCAGAGCATCGCGATTTTTGTATTGATCATGGCACGTACTAACGCGTCAAGTTTCTGTGCCGACGCGATCATCCCTTTTTGATGCACAATCCAGTATAATGAATCGCCACAGAAATATTCTTCGGGTATAGATTCACGTTTCATAAAACAGACGAATTTCAAACCTGGTTCAAAACGTTCTCCATCATCTTTCAGCGATTCGTCAAATGGAATAGGTGTGGAACCTAACATGTAGCCTTCGATTAGCTCAGTTTCGGCTGGTTCGATTTCCGTGCCACGAACAAAAGATTTCATTTCACGCGAAACGAGCTCATCGTCTTGACCCCAACACTTTTTTAATTTTATATTACTTTCGTCTTTCATGTAAATAACTCCAGATATCTTAATTGTGATTTCTGATCCAATCGTTAACTTGCTGTTCCAAACCCATGGCCTTTTGTTAGTTATTTTGAATACACAACGCTTTGCTTCTTCGAAATTATAAAGCTTTGCGCTGCAGTCTGTAATGAGTTGTAAGGCATAATCCTCATTTTTAAGTTGTTGTTTACCCTTATCGCAATCACGAAATTTTACTTTGGGCTGACCGCTGATTGGATTATCGACGTATTGAATGTTTTGAGAACTAATGAAACATATGTATGTAGAACATAAACATTGAGCTATAGACATATTGTTAAAATAAAAATATGTTCCAATTAAACCTACATAACAACTAGTTCGACTTCTGTTTGCGCTATATTTTGTACGATAACGTCATACATATCATACGTATTTGGTGCATCATTGAAATCATAAAAGAACAAAATTCGAGATCTTTGAAACTTGAAGCATCTGTAATAAATTAGTAACAATCAGTTTCACTAATATGGGAAAGATGAAGCTCTTACTCTTCGCCCCTTTTTAACACTTCCATTGCGACTACCAATGCATCCAGCCATTCACCCTCATCACAGGATTCTTCGTTGACAAATTTATAGAAATTTAAAAGCAATTGCCAAGTAGGACATTGTGGATTCTGATACTGTGTTATGTTATTATAACCATCCGGAAAAACGTGCTCATTTACATCATTCAATGTTTTTTCTGTACCAAGCAGCACAAATGATACGAAGTCCTTTTTGCCAGCGCAGATCTGACATAGAAACAGTAGTATTTGATTTGCATGATTTTAATGATTGTTATTTACCTTGTCTTTCAAAATATCTGCAACTAACTTTACTGATTTTAATTTTAAATCTTCACTGGAGGATGGGCGAATGTCCAGGACAGCTACAAGATACTCCTAAAAGGTAAACAAATTACATGATTTTAAGTTATCGTCATTTACACATGTATATGAACTTATGGCTCATAGTAAGAACTACCCCGCTTTACCTTATTTACAGCCATATTCAGATGAAATTAAACACAATTGCAATTGTTAAATACATATATGTACCGAATTTCCAATATTATTGTTTTCAACCCGTCGTGATATTTGCCCGCCACAAAATAAAATGTTTGATTTTCAGGAAGATATGACTCGATAACATCATCCGAAACAATCGATTTTTTCTATTTGTAACTGGTATTGAGAAAAAAGTTTGCGAAAGCGGTTTCGTCAGCTGAGCGTTTGTTTACATCACAAGCACCACTATTTTACACTTTTATTCAAGTAAAGAAGAGTTAATTCAACATGACAACACATTTTAAAGCATTTTGTTGCATCAATTTACCTAAATTGTGCGTTTAAATTGGCTGACAATAATTTTGGTTTTCGTTGTTTTCTTTGATTTATTTAATTTTCGCTCGTTTTCCAGTGAAACAAGATGGCGTAGAACCCGCTAAAAAAATCGACTTTTTTCACTCTCTTGTTCCATGAACCAAAAATACAAGATCACGCCTTCTTCTTAGTAGCCCGTTATAATAGCATTTAGGAAAAAAGTTGGGCGACTTTGACATTAGCCGTTTGTTTACATTTGTTCGTTGTTTACAATTTGGTAGTGGCTTTTTACTGCAATTTTCTTAATTTTCGCTTGTGACAACGTGTGCACACTTAAGGGAAAGAATAATTTAACACAACGACATGATTTATAGAAGAATTTGCATAATAAAAGTGATTATTCATTCAACAATTACGCGGTTTTTTTTTGTTCTTTTCGTTGTTTACTTCTTCCAACAAAGATGGCGTCGAGATTTCAACAGCTAGAAAATAACTTTTTTCTTTCTTTCGGGAAGGCGTGATCTTGTGTCTTTCGTTCATGCTCTTGTTCTTACGTGGTCTTGTGTCTTTCGTTCATTGTTTAATTCAGTTGTGACCACAGTATATACAGTAATAGGGCATTTGCACATAGCGATTTTACGGGCAACAAAAATTGAATGCGAAGTTGAATGAGAAGTTGAAAGTGAAAAAGTTGCCATCCCTATTCAGACGAGGAGATTTTCGATTCAACACGAATTGTTATTTACATTATTGAAAATGAATTTAAATCGCAAAATTTTATCAATTGGCGTAAATTTGGTAAGCCAAGCGTTGGTAAAAGTGTTTTTGGTGAAGATGAAAGATAAAATAAAAGTAAAAAAGTAAAAACGTATGTATACAGAATGTAAACAAACTCAGGGTTGCAAGGAAAAAAAGTTGAACGAGCTCAAAGTTGGCTGGCGACCAACTTTGTTGAAAGCGATTTTTTTTTTTTTTTTTGGGGATTTCAATGTGATGGCCGTGGTCAGAGACCACATTGCCAGATCGGTGACAAAGCGATTAGTTGAAAGGCCGTTCGGACGAAGCGATTTTTGCTTTCAACTAAAAGTTGCCTGAAAAATCGCAACATGCGAAAGCCCTATAATAAACCTTTTCACAGTTTTTCACCAATTGGTCCCCGAGGAGTACTTTTGGGTTGTGTGCAGCGTTTTAGTTTTGCGCGTACGGCAACACTAACTGTGGGGAATTTCGCCTCATGATTAGAAAAAGTTCTTTTCAAGGATAAAATATATGTTATTACATATGTGTTATTTATGAACAAAATGTAGGTGAAGTATAATATTATGCTTAATCAAGAATAATGTCAATAGTTAAGTACATAATTAACGCTTGTGTTTCTATAAACTGGAAAACTCAAATCGTAGTTATAGCACTGAATTGAGTTCTCTTAAATGCACATTTAAAATATAAAAAATATTCATTATAAAATTATATTTTTATGAAAAAACGTAAATTTTGTGTTATTTTGTGAATTCATTAAGTAAAATTCTAAAATTCCGAAAAAATTTAAGTCTTTATTCGAAAAAAAAAAACGAGTTTTGTATAGGTATAGAGACTCCAATTTCTGCCAGCGCATCCGCCCAGACAGATCATTAAACACACCCAAGTTTGAGTGGCCACACATACAATAGTAATTCTCTTCTTCTTCTTTTTTGGCGCTGTAACCGCCTAAGCGATTTTGGCCGAGTTCAGCAAAGCACGCCAGTCGGTTCTCCTCTGTGCCAACTGACGCCAATTGGAAACGCCAAGTGAAGCCAAGTCCTTCTCCACCTGATCTTTCCATCGCAGTGGGGCCTCCTTCTTCCTCAGCTACCACCAGCGGGTTCCGAGTTGAATACTTTCAGAGCTGGAGCGTCGGTGTCCATTCGAACGACATGACCAAGCCAGCGGAGCCGCTGTATTTTAACTCGCTGCACTATGTCCATATCGTTGTAAAGCTCATACAGCTCATCGTTCCATCGTCTGCGGTACTCGCCGTCGCCAACGCGTAAAGGCCCGTAAATCTTCCGCAAAAACTTTCTCTCAAACACTCCAAGAGCCGCCTCATCGGATGTTGTCATGGTCCATGCTTCTGCGCCATACACCAGCACGGGCATGATGAGTGAGTTATAGAGCGTGGTTTTCGTACGTCGAGAGAGGACTTTACTCCTGAATTGCCTACTCAGTCCAAAGTAGCACTTGTTGGCAAAAGTGATTCTACGTTGAATTGTAACTGTCAACAGTGACGTGGGTGCCAAAGCGCAAATGTGCTGTTTGTTTGATGACAGGAGATAACTCGTCTTGTCCTTACCACCAGACCCATTCGCTTTGCTTCCCTATCCAACTTGGAAAAGGCAGAAGAGACTTCGCGGTTTTTGTTACCGATGATGTCGATGTCATCGGCATAAGCCATCAATTGCACGCTCTTGTAGTAAATTGTTCCTGACCGGTTCAGTTCTGCAGCTCTTATTATCTTCTCCAACATCAGATTACAGAAGTCACATGAAAGAGAGTCGCCCTGTCTGAAACCCCGTTTTGTGGCGAACGGCTCGGAGAGGTCTTTTCCAATTCTGACGGAGCTGGTGGTATTGCTCAACGTCATTTTACACAGCCGTATGAGTTTTAAGGGGATGCCAAATTCAGACATAGCGGCGTATAGGCAACTCCTTTTAGTGCTGTCAAAAGCGGCTTTAAAGTCGACAAATAGGTTAGACTTGGCGTATTGTGAATACCTGGTCTATGGTGGATTTGCCAGGTCTACAGCCACACTGATAAGGCCGAATCAGTTCATTGACGGTGGGCTTCAGTCTTTCACACAATACGCTCGATAAGACCTTGTAACCTATGCTTAGAAGGCTGATCCCGCGGTAGTTGGCGCGAATGGTGGGGTCTCCTTTCTTGTGGATTGGGCAGAGCACACTTAAATTCCAGTCGTCGGGCATGCGTTCATCTGACCATATTCTGCAAAAGAGTTGATGCATGCACCTTATCAACTCCTCGCCGCCGTACTTGAATAGCTCAGCTGGCAGGCTGTCAGCTCCAGCGGCTTTGTTGTTTTTCAGCCGCGTTATTGCTATACGTACCTCGTCATAGTCAGGCGGTGGAACGTCGACTCCGTCATCATCGACTGCGGGCTCTGGTTCTTCTTCTCCACAGTTTTCCGTGCTGCTACCATTTAGTAGGGCGGAAAAGTGTTCCCTCCATAATTTAAGTACGCTCTTGACTCCAGTTACCAGGTCGCCATTATTGTTCTTACAGGAGTGCGCCCCGGTCTTTAAACCTTCCGTTAGTCGCCTAACTCTCTGGTAAAGTTTTCGGGCATTACTCCTGTCGGCCAGCATTTCAAGCTCTTCGCACTCACGTATTTTCGCTCGTTGCGGCAAATACGTCTCGCTTCCCTCTTCAGATCCCTATAGCGGTGCCACATAGCGCGCGTTGCGCCCGATCGCAGCGTGGCCCTGTAGGCGGCATCTTTTTTCTCTGCAGCTTCCTGACACTCCTCATCGTACCAGTTGTTCTTTCGGGCTCGCTGAAAACCGACTACTTCTTCGGCGGCGGTACTTAATGAGCGGGAAATGTGGTTCCACTGCTCGCATATGTCGGTTTGTTGAAGAGTGCTCTCTAAGAGCAGGTGTGAGAGTCGAGTAGCGAAAGCGGTGGTTGTAATAGTAATTGCTACCGTATAAATTCATGACATGCGTTTGCTTAGAAACTCCGTTAGTTAGGTGGTCATAACTTCAGCCAGCCCATTCAATGGTCCATTACTCGGAACTGCTCCAACATGATGAGTAGATTTAAATGAGTTTCTTATGCCACTGCATCTGGCTGCAAGCTGGATATGAAATTCACTACTCGTCAAAAAATGTGCATTTATACGTAAATTTGGTTTAAGTGCTAGCGTTTTCAGTATTTAACAATTCATTATCATTTACGTTACGGTGTAATATAACCAGTTAAACACTGAACTCTGATGATCTGTATTAGTATCTATATTAATAGAGAATAATTTGCAATTTTTTTGCTTTCGTAATTAACTTTGGTCACTATTATACAGTCATGTCTTGTGCCACTCTGCCATAGCACGGTCGTTGCTCCCTTTCATACCACAGTAATTTTGTATACAACTCTGAATCAACAAATTTCATGCTCCTTCTCATTATCAACCCTGATCAGATTTTACCCCCGAGGAGTACTCAAAAAGGTTTATTACTGTATATACTGTGGTTGTGACCCATGATTCAATAATAAAAGGTTTGCTCAAAAAAACAGTTTTCTCGCTCCCTCTTGACAAAATCGGCTCCCTTAGCAAGGCATTGTGTGTGAGTTCGCGTATATGTGCAAAGCTTTTGTAAGGCAGTTTCAAAACTTTAATGTCACTAATGAGCAAACCTTTAACTATTGAATCATGGTTGTGACCATAATGCAATAATACAAGGTGGTATCAGTTGTGAATAAGAAGAAAAACGGGAAGAAATTAATCCCCATTTGGGGGGAAATAAAAAATTTCATATTTTCTTCCAAACAAAATTTGAGAAAACAAAATGTATATACTGAGAAAAAATAAAAAAAGTTCAACTATATTATTAGGCAAAGAATTGTTAAAGCAGTAACACTGTTTCTCCTAAGGCAGTCAATATGGCGGAATTAGAGCGAGAAGTTTCCAACCGATAACACCTTATATTATTGCATCATGAGTTGTGATATCCCGATTTGACACTGCCTAAGCTCAGTAGAATAAGAAGAAAAACGGGAAGAAATTAGTCCCCATTTGGGGGAAAAATATAAAATTGCGTA